AGAATGAAAGTGATGGATGAATGGGACACAACTGGATCTTCTGGCGAGCTGAAAGGAAACCGCTCGAGACGAGTCGATCTTAAGAAGGGAGCGGATGTAATGGACAAAGAAGATGCTGCAAGAACAGCCTCCGAAGCAAAGGAACGGGGATGCACCGTTAGGCTATTCGGGACGAACAGCCTTAAGGAGGGAGCAGTGTGACATGTTGCGCAAAGCCGAGCCCCCCCCACACCAGCAGTGACGCGGCGGGTGAGTCAGCGCTCCCCTCCCACCCCTCAGCAGTAACGTAAACACGTTACAATATTTTATGAAAATTGTTATTTAATTCCATATCTGCAGGGACAAGCTTTAAATGTATTTTCTATTTTGTTTAAATCGTATCTTACTTTTAAATAATTCCATCAAAACTATTATATTACACCTTAAAATCTAATATTGAGAAATTTTGCTGAAGAATGTTACCTTCATTCTTAACACTGAGTTAGGTGAAAAAATATATTTCACTTGCCTTTTTTTTACTTTAGGAGTCCCCTCCTCTAAGACAACTTTTGTTCTAAATATCGGTACAACCGTCTTAATTTATCTCTAAATTTTGTCACTCTGTCAGTGTTTTAATATAATTCTGTTTTATTGCGTTTTGCTCTTTTATGTTATCACATGGCCGGAGGAAGGGAAAACAACTGAATTCATAGCAGCTTGGAAAATATTGTTACGTATTCAGGTAACGCGACAAGAAATTAGTGGATTCCGGATGAGGTGAAACTGTTTATTGGATAACTCGTCTACAACTACAACTACAATCGCTCTGAAGTAGCGTCTTGCAGAAAATGCGACCTGGCCAGTCCGTCGTCTCTCCCGTTTCGTCTTCTGGTTCTTCGCTGAGCTGGTTTCTTCTGCTCCCAGCTCTGCTCCGATCTTCTCTGATCTCATTTCCGATCTGATCTTCTCTGATCTGAGTCTGAGTCTTATGTTACGACCGACGGTCAGTCGGTCAGTCTCTCTTGGAATAAAGCACACATCTGGGGCTTACGACCAGATTTTTATTAGCGTTAGACAGTTGTGGGTTGTTGATGTGGGGCTCTCTCTCTGACAAGAGGACGAGTCTGTCGTTTATAATTGCTGGTGGCTCACGTCAGCGCAGTCATTATAGGGTCCGAGTCCCTTGGGGATCGCGACCATATTTTACTGCATCACATTCGTCTTTCTGATGAATCTGATCTTTGTTCCCTTTTGTCTCTTATCTTCCACAGTCGGACGGACTAGAAGACACCTTCTTGAAGGATATCGTGTCCATAACGGTTGTCTGCGTTGTCTCGGGAACGTGTAACATGTCGATTTTTACCTCTAGCTGTTGGTTGTTGCTGGGACAGCGCTTATTGCGCCGTTGCCCGGCAATAGACGTCTCTGTATGCGATGTCTCGGAAAGGTGTTTTAACAAGCAGTTTTCTAGCAATGAACGTCCTCTCAGATATTCTGGCTTTTAGGAGGCACGTCACAATATTTTGTTAGTGTTATGTGCAGCACACTCACTGCCACACACTCGTTCTTATGCCGATTCGAAGGTCGAATATTTCCGGTTTTATGATGTATGTCTTTATTAACAGTAGCAATGCAAGTCCTTCTACCTCCCATCCTCTTCTTCTACGAGAGGTTAGTACATCGTTGTTCTGACTGTATGTTATAGGCCTACTAGACGTTAACTCATACATTCTTCTTCACCGTTTCATT